AAAAGTTATAGACTAGAAATCAATTTCGAAAAAAAATTCAAAGGGCTGTAACTTTGGAACTAGTAGCCCAATCTTGGAACTGTTTGAAATTATGGATTCTACAGGCGACATTCTATAAGAAAAAATTTTTTCCGGGTCGATCTGAGACAATTTTTTGTGAGGGCCTCAAAAAAAGGCAGTGTATAACCTTCCTTTTTTACCAAAAATCGACTGCACCAAAATTTCTCGGGAAAACACTTTTTCTTATTAATTTTGGTGCGCAGAATCCAAAACAATTCGTACTTTTTCGATCAGACTTCTCAATCAAAAGTTATAGACTAGAAACCAATTTCGAAAGAAAATTCAAAGGGCTGTAACGTTTGAACTAGTAGCCCAATCTTGGAACTTGGGACATTTTAATTTACAGAAGTTATATAGGTTTCGTAACTTCTTGTATTAAAGTCATATGAAAAACCTGTCAAGTGTAAAGTAAAACATTAAAACTCATACGAAAAATATGTTGGTAGTAAATATCATATAACATATCATATAAAAAGTCATGTGAGATATATTATAGTGTAAAGGTACTTTAACAGACAGAATTCGTCACTCGTTTTATTTTTCAGGGTAATAGTGACTCGTGTTTTAACTTTTAACCAATCACAGTGAAGGTTAAACTGTTCCTATGCTTTCTACCGCTATCTTCTTAAAATGAATAGCGTTATAGTTCTATAGGTACTAAAAAAGATTCTCAAAAACTATAATGCGCAAAGATTTATGTTTACGGCTCATTTTAGCGAATGATGAAAGGTACGATGTAGAAAAAACATTTTAAAAAACGTAATTTTTGAAAACGCTGTTAGACCCTCCACTTTTTAAAAATTTTTTATAGCTTAACCGTAATGGCGCTAGCTTTAATTCAAGTGGCGCAATTGAGCGCATAAGCAAATGTATCAGGTGACCTAGTTACAAGCGACAAAATACGTACTGGGGGGGCTACGTTCACTTGGCCCCCCCCCAAATGTTTTTTTGGATTTCTAAAAAAACGATAATAGCGCAAGAGTTATTATCGGTGGCGGATATGAGCGCATTCATTTTAAAATAATACGACTATCAAATTTCTCAGTGGGGGGGGGGCAGTTTAACGGACCCATTTTTTCACATACTATAAGGCCATACCCAGGTAAGGCTCGTTTGGTATATTGGTTTACACGTTTATTTTCATTTCGAGTTCTAGTTATTCATAAAAATGAAAAAATGCTTTAATCAATAGGGGTATACTTAAGTATCTGAGTGATATGCGTCCCTTAAATCGTGGAGAACACAAATTTCGAGTTTTATTTTAAGACGAACTGCTTGTTACACCTCGGTAAAAATAAAGAGAATTTGGAAAATTATTTAATGCAAAATAAACTCGTGTTTACCACGATTTAAGGGACGATATGTCAATACAGGGGGATAAATTTAGGAGCAATGAGCATTTTTCATTTTTATGAATAACTAGAACTCGAAATGAAAATAAACGTGTAAACCAATATACCAAACGAGCTCCTGGGTATGGCTATAGTACGTGAAAAATCAAATTTTGAACCTGGTGATTTAGATTTGAATTTATTCCAAGTGTCCATGTTTCAAATTTCATTTAAATACTTTCATAAATAAAACGAATAGCGAAAAGGGCACTGTAAATATTGAATCGATTAGGCCCAACTTTTGGCATTGCGTATTATACAGGGTGTCAATTTTAAAGCTTGCAGTCGGCCATATTTTCCAAACTAAAGAAGATATTGAAAATCGCGCAGTACCGTTTCGGGGGTATCGAGGGGGAACCAGAATGACGTTATTATCCCCACCCCATTAACCACCCAGACCCCCCCCCCTTCTTCAAAAATTCTAAATGGCAACCCCGTACTTGTGACACATCGTTGGAAAGCTACTGAAAAATGCTTTCCAGTGGTACCAATAAAGTCAATATTGATTAAGACAACTTAAAAAAAATTTAATAATTAACAAAAATAAATAAATGTTACAATAAATGTTGAAAATGGTTGCCATTATTGGCCAAACAAAAATAAAGTCTGTTTTCAAACTCTTTACGAACATTATTGAAGGTCTCTTTAGATATAAGACGACATCCTTGAATAATTATTCTTTCCCGTAGTTCTGCAATTGAAGCTGGTTGAGTTTTATACACCACTGATTTTAGGTGACCCCACAGAAAAAATCAGAAGAAGTAAGATCTTGGAGGCCATTCGATTGGACCTCTTCTTCCAATCCATTGGTCGGGATATTGTTCGTCCAACTATTGTCGAACTGGAAGGGCATAATGTGGAGGTGCTCCATCTTGTTGAAAATGCAACAAATTTTCGTTTAGAAATAAATTGTCTTGCATGTCTGATTTTCCAACTCTTCAACAATCAGCGGTTGTATGATATTATCCAATAGTTCGCCATAAATGTCACCATTTAAAGTTCCTTCTATAAATATCGGTCCAATAATGGCATCCCCCAAAATACCCGCTCAAGCATTAGTTTTTTTCTGGATACTGAGTATGTCCTTCCCTAAAGATATGCGGATTTTCTTCACTCCCGTAACGAACGTTTTGTTTATTAACATTGCCGTTCAAAGAGTAAGTACATTCGTCGCTAAAACAAATGTTTCTTACTTAATTCGTCTATCTGGGTCATCATCCCCAAGTTCTTGAAGTATTGAAGTGGTGAAGTTTCAATACCCGCCTAACTGATTCATGGGATGGTCCTGTCTCTTCAGCTGCCCTACGAGTTGACATTGAGGGATTTATGGCAAATTATTAAATTTTTGTTAAATTGTCTTAATGAATATTGACTTTATTGGTACCACTGAAAAGCATCTTTCAGTAGCTTTCCAATGATGTGTCACAGGTATGAGGTTGCCTTTAGGATTTTTTGAAGAGAGGGGTCTGGGGGGTTAAGAGGGGTGCGGTGTTGTCACTCATAACGTTCATTCTGATTTTCAATATCTTCTTTAGTTTGGAAAATATGGCCGACTGCACGTTTTAAATTTGACACCCCGTATGACTAAAGCTATGCCAATGTTGAATTTCATGCAATTCTAACATGCACAACTAACGCAAATGTCAAAAGAGCCCTTATTTTTGGCGCATTAGGTCCTTAGGGCGAAAACCTTTTTACTTGTTTACTTACATTGCCAATTCACGAACTCTGATCTACAAATTTGATAAAGAATCTATCTGCAAAATTTCATCGTCCATTCGTTTTCGAGATATCGTGCTAACGGACAGACGGACAGGCACTACAAAATTTTAAACTCTCTAGAAGGTCGTTAGTAATTGAAAAATGTTGGTTATTTGAAATATTTTCGACATCATTAAGTTACTACTTAAGTAGCGAATTTCATAAGCTGTCATATTATGTAATATACAGGGCGTTCCTTATGAAAAGTTACATTTTTGCTATTATCTGAAAAATGCGATGTTGTTTTGTTTTAATTTCAGATTTAGATTCATTAGAAAAAATACACAATTTTGGTAATTTAACCGTCTTTCTAACAACAACTAAGAAAGTTAGCAATAGTACCGTCTTAATTTGAAACAGACTGTATACAGGGTGTTTCATGGGGAATGGTACACACATAATAACATAGTATGTTATAGATTTGTTCATTTTAAGCAGCAAGTGCCTAAAAATATGTTCTCAATTCTCATAGATAACTGGGAGACTAACGTATGTACCATTCCTCACGAAACACCCTGTATGTACTTACTTAATAATAGTGTGTACTTGTAAAACAATTTTTTTCTTGAATTATCCTAGAAATCCAAAAATATAACAAGAAATTATCTTATCTATAATTAGACCCTTGGCACTCTGATGAATAAAAATCATACATTTTGGTCAAATAGAAGCATAAAAAAACGTCACGCTTTAAATAATCGTTTGATGCGACCCGATTTGAAAAATCATTTTTGGTTGTCTGGAAAACAAGCCAAAAGTCAAAAGCATTTCTCGTGAACTATTAATCGGTTCTGAACGTATTTTTTTAAATGAAGGTCTTTCCGAGAGCTTTCCATTCGGATATTATAAATTTACATTTCTTGTTTGTATTTTGGAAATTACCTATTCCATTTGTTAACTACGAAAATTCTTCGGAATTGCCTTCGGTTGCCTTTGTTGTATGACCCACTTGTTTACATTGATAGCATCTAAATTTGAAAATGCTTGTATTCAAAATGCTAAAACAAATCATTCATTTTTTTGAATTAATGCTAAATCTTGGCACGGAAGTAAACATATATCTTTTTCCAGACTGCCAACTTTGGCTCTAACCCGGAAAAAGATTTTGATCGTCTAAAGCAATTACAACCAAACAAACCAGCGATGGCCATGGAGTATTGGGGTGGCTGGTTCGATCACTGGTCCGAAAAACACCACACAAGAAAAAATTCGGACTTCAACAACGTCCTCGAGAGGATTCTGCGGTATCCCGCCTCTTTCAACATCTACATGTTTATAGGTGGCACAAACTGGGGCTTTCTTAACGGAGCTAATATTGCCGATGGTAGTGTTAACAATAAGGGTTATCAACCGGATACAACAAGCTATGACTACGATGCGCCCTTAACCGAAGCCGGCGATTATACGGAAAAATATATAATGGTTAAGGAACTTATAAAAAAATTCAGCAAAGTGAATCTTAATACCCCACAAGCTCCTTCAATTACCTTAAAAATTGCGTACCCCACCATTAACGTAACGGGACAGTTAAAACTGAAGGAAATTATTGACAGGGTACCAGAGAAGTTTGAGTCTCCAACCCCGATTTCCATGGAACATCTTCCGATGAATAACGGGGCAGGTCAAAGCTACGGGTACATTACTTATAAGAAGGAGAATTTACACATACCAGCAAATTCGGTCCTTACCATTGAAGGGCACGTGTGTGATACTGTAATGGTTTTGGTAAATGGTATGCTTGTTTCCAAACCGTTAAGAAGTGCGGTCGATTTGAACGGTTTTGGGTACTGGAGAATTGCTAACGGAAAGCTCCATTTAGGAGTTGAAGATGTGCATAACGCAACTTTAGAGTTAGTAGTCGAAAATTGGGGGCGAAATAATTTTGGGTACTTAGAACAATTTAATCAGTACAAGGGAATATGGCAGGGAGGCATTTTATTAAACAACGATAAGTTATTAAATTGGCAAATCATTCCCATGGAATTCAAAAGGAAGTGGAATGACAACTTAACAGGATGGCACGTTCCTGAAGCTTTATGGTTGGCAGGCCCTTCTATGTATAGGGCGATGTTCGTGGTAAACGAACTCGCCGATACATTCATAGACATGAGGAAGTGGGGCAAGGGAATTGTGATCGTAAATGGTTTTGTTTTAGGGCGATATGCATCAATGCTGGGTCCACAACAAACCTTGTATTTGCCGGCGCCTTTATTACGAAAAGGAACGAATAGTATAATCGTATTTGAACATTTTACGGCGAGCGAAGAAATCGTTTTCTCCAGCCAACCAATATTTTATACTCCTGCGATTAATGGAGATGTGCCGACTGTGATAAAACAAAATTAACTATATATAATCTGTAACAACACAAAAAGATGGCATTAAAAATACATTTTTATTATAACCCAAAATCTTATTATGTACCTTAAATATAAACTAAAAATTTTTATCAAGATTTTTACTATGGGTTTCAATGGCGTTTATTTCTATCTATGAATATAAGCAGAAGTTTTTGAGTGACAATAAATCGCGAATGTTACCGATATTATTCAGTTACAGGTTAAGGATCTGTGAGAATATTAGCAGAGTGAGTTCGATGAAAGTTTTTAATCAGTCAACACGAAAATCAGTTTTAATATAAACTTACAACGACACATTTCTTGAATTAAATTTTTGACATATTTTAAAATTACTTATATAAGCTGGCGCTGTATGAATATCAAACTTGATTATAATTATATTCCAACAGCCCCATTTAATCTAGTGAAGATACATACACAAAACTTGTAAACTAAACTACTTATAAACATATATATTTGAAATTACATACATCCTAAATAGTTAACAAAATATTTGTGTTTTGGCTCTGATAAACCTTTTGTGAAAATATCAGCTGGCATCTGATCTGTTGAAATATACTCTAAGCATATCTCTTTTCTTTCAACTGCCTCTCTTATAAAATGATATTTTACATTTATATGTTTAGTTCTATTAAGAAATACAGGATTTGAAACCAACTTCTGCGCACTTTATCATTACATAACAAAATAGTTTCATCTATTTGTAAAATTTCACCAAGAAAACCTTTTAAAAATATAGCTTCTTTAGTTGCTTGACAAATAGATACATCTTCTGCTTCGGTACTAGATAAACTTACTGATGCTTGTTTCTTTGATTCCCATGAAATTGCCCCTCCTGACAACAAACACAAATAACCAGTATATGATTTTTCCATCGATTAAATTATTTCCCCAATCAGCATCACAAAATCCTTTGTTTTCCAAATTACCTTTTTTGTAAATTAAACTCTGATCAATATGGTCCGTTTTAAATACCTCAATACCTTTTAGCATGTTGAAAATGAGTATTTGTGTAACAAGTATTAGACTGACTTAGATAGCTTACAGAGAAAGCTATATCAGGTCTCGAATTAACTGCTAAAAACATTAAAGAACCTATAAGACATATGTAAGGAATACTTTTATCACATTTTCCTTTTTCTAACTTTAGCCTTGGTTCGATAGGAGTTGAAACTGGTTTACAGTCTTTCATACCAAATCTCTCTAACAAATATAAGATGCTTTTGATTTACTCTTAATTCCTGCTTACTTTTATCTAGTTAAATATTTAAACCTAAACATTTCTTGACTTGGCTCAAGCCCTTAAGTTTAAAATTCTCTGATAAAACACCCTTTAATTTAGCAGCTTCACCAGCATTATTATAGAAAATCAAAAAATCATCAACATACAAGGCAATAACAACAATTGCTCCTTCAATTCTTCATATTCATATTTAGACTTTTTGTAATCCAATTCTGTCAAAGTTTGTTCAACTCTTAAATTCCACATACGTGAAACTTGTTTAAGCCCATATATGGTTTTGTTTAACAAACATACCTTATTATTTTTAATATAACCCTCTGGTTGAGCCATAAAAATTCTTTCGTTCAAATTACTATTAAGAAGAGCTGTGTTAATGTCTACATGATCTACTTCTAAATCAACACTTACCGCTATGGCAAAAAGCATACTTAGAGTTTCTAACAACTGGTGAAAACGTTTCTGTATAGTCTATTCCATACTGTTGAGTTAAACCACGAACAACTAGTCTGGTTTTATATCTCTTCTCACCCTTTGAATCACACTTTAATTGATAAACCCACTTGCACTGAACAATCTTCTGATTTTCTGGTTTTTCGACTAATGTCCATACTTCATTGTTTATTAATCACTCGTACTCTTCATCCATTGCTTGTCTTCATTTTTCTGCATCATCACGACTCAAGACCTCAGATACAGTGCTTGGTTCTTCATTCATCGCTTCCGATACCAAATACAGTACATGGTCTGTATAAGTTTTTTTCCGATCTTCTGAGTTGTACATCATTTTCTTGTGGAACATCCACTTCCAGATCATCATCAGATTGTGCATCAGAATGTATATCTTCAACTTCTTCCTCATGCACCTCTTCTATGTGAGCATCCTCTTTTTGAAAAACCAGATTTCTGTTCCCCTCATCACGATCATTTTTCCTAGATTGAAATTGATATTCGAAGAAAACGACACATCTAGATTTGATGATGTGACCTGATTTTTCAATATCAAACAGACTGTAAGCTTTACTATGTTCATCGTAACCCACGAACACATATTCCTTGCTCTTTGGATCGAATTTCTTTCTTAATTGTTGCGGTATATTAGCCTGTGCTATACAGCCAAAAACTTTTAAATGTTTGAGATTAATTCTCAATCCTGACTATTTTTCTTCTGGCGTACATCCTTTTACAGCTTTGTGAGGTGATCTATTCTTCAAATAAACTGCGGTGTTGACAGCTTCAGCCCACATCTTTTGATCTAGATTTGCCTCAAGCAACATACATCTAGCTTTTTCTACTATCGTCCTATTTGTCCTCTCTGCTACACCGTGTGACAGTGGTTTGATGATCAATACCTTTTATTTTGAAGTAATTTGTGAAACCTTAACATACTCTGTTCCATTGTCACTTCTAACCTCCTTAATTCTCTTACCCGTTTGATTCTCAACAAATATTTGAAATTGTTTAAAATGATCTAGGACTTGACTTTTAGATTTCAAAAAATATACAAATACTTTTCTAGTATAATCATCAATTAGTACAAAAATGTATCTTGCCCCACTCCAAGAGGAAACTGGCATAGGTCCACATAAATCTGTGTGTACTAATTCTAAAATATCTGTAGCTCGCTTAACCTCCTGTCTTATTAAACGATTGCCTCGCCTGCTTTCCCAGCAAACACCTTTGGCATTGGTCCCCTTTTCCATTGCCGTACATTATGCCATCAGCCATTCCATTTTTTCAATAGCTGCATACTAACTCGATTGAGATGGCCTAGTCTCTTGTGCCACAATTCTTCAGAATTTGAATTTGCCACAGTAAGCAAACTCTGCTGCTCAAAAACGTCCAACTCGTAGAGCGGTGAGTCGCATTAGCCACAACCCCTCCTTTGACTTGGAATTTTTCATTGTCATAAATAACACATTTATCTTCATTCCACAGCATGTCCTTTTTCTACCATTTTGCTCACCGACAGTAAGTTAGCCCTTAATTCTGCAACATAGACGATCTCGGATATTGTTTTGTTACCTGACTTGGTATGCACTTGAGCGTTTCCAATATCTGCACCAGATATCCTTTGATTGTTAGCAACTACAATCTTGGAATCTATCAGATTTTCAAAATCTTCAAGACAATCCCTTTCAAATGTCATGTGTGTGGTTGCCCCTGAGTCAATGTACCACTTCTGAGAATATTGGACACTGTTGTTGGTAACAGAAGTCTGCAATGCCTTCTCGGATTTGGCATGATCCTTTTTATCTTTTTGGTACTTACTCTTTCTCTCATTAGACTTTTTATTTTCTTCTGAATTTGAGCTCTTATAGGAACACTGATTTTTATAATGTCCCATGCCTCCACACGAATAACATCTTACTCCCGATTTACTACCTTTCTTCCATGTCTTTTTATTTGATAACAAATCAACTTCATGATTTTCCTTGTTGTATTTATCATCTTGAAGTAATTTAGCTTTTACACAATCACTTGTAATCGATTCAAAACAATTTTCAATTGCCATTACCATGGGTTCATATTCTGGAGTAAGGCCACAAAATAACACCCAAAAACTCATCATCCACCGGATGTTGCATATCTTGTAACTTTTGAGCTTGTGTCATCCTCTCTGGATAGCCTTCTATGCATCCCCAAAGAACTTCATGCATAAGCGCCATTTTTATCCCAAATTTCCAGCTGTTAAAATTCTCCCTGGCGACTAATTTCTCGAATCCTAAGGATATACTCGAGTGTTGTGCCATTTTATACAAGTTTTCTGAACTTAACACTTCTCTGATGTATAACGTTGACTTTCGCACTAACTTATTTTTCTATCGATTTACACTAAAACGCACACGCACTTCATAATCTGGGCGCATAACCTGTGAGAATATTAGCAGAATGAGTTCGATGAAAGTTTTTAATCAGTCAACACGAAAATCAGTTTTAATATAAAGTGTCTTCATGAATTTGCAGTTAGGGGAAAGTATCACTTTCAAAACTTGTTGTACAAAGAACAATATCCTCCTAAATTAGAAACTTCTTTTGAAACTTTAGAAACCTTCTTTGGAGTGTCACAAGAAATCCTCTGGAAAACCTTTTTAGGAGTATTTTGTAAAATATGGAAAATCACTTCCATGTAAATAATCTTAGCGGTCGTTCTAGAAAAGTGGACTAAACATTCTTTAGTTAGTAATAAGTAGTCTCTTTTGAAAGTATTTTTAGAATTGCCTTCTGTCCAGGGATCTTCTTAGAAATAGTTTTAACGACTTGCTTAGAAAGCGTTCTCGGAATCTTTAACACATTATTTTCGTCATCTTCTTGAGGTCATTTCAAGAGTCTTCCTCAAAGTGTGCTTAGGAAATGTTACCAGAACCTTATCAATTTTCTTCTTACGTGACATTTTAAAAATTGGCGTAGAACTCTTGGAAAACCTGAATTGGATTCAAAAAATAATCTCCATAAAAATATTGTAACGTAAATTTAATTACGCCGTTTATTTATTTACAAATAATGAACAATAAATTTATAACAGTATTGAAAAGAATGGATTTATAACAGCAAAATTTATTTGTCACTTACGTATACACCATTTATGATTTCGGCGTTGAAAGTGGAACTGTCAATTCGATTTGCTTATATAGCTACCGCCCCTTATTTCATGAAAAATCTCGAGCGCTTCCGAAGGCATCCCACTATTCTACGTTTTCGGGAAAACACGTCATATTTCTCGAAAAGAAAACAATACGAGACGGATGGACAGAAAGTGTAATAAAGAAGTCCAGTTTAAAGACTTCCGTTTCTTAGTATTCAAATTGAACCCGAATTCAATGTAATTCCAGTTGAATTTTCTTGTACAAGTCGGTTCCCATGATCACCATAACAAAGGGGGTGAAATACTAAGTACAAATAAAACAAGTAATTACCGGTGTTTTTAAGGACTTTTTTATGTGCACATATCTACATATACACAGACTTACATTTCCATACGTGGTTTGATTTCTCTGTTATAATTTAAAATACAATGTTGTCACGTTCTTGTAACTAAAAATGATAAATGTTGCATAATTATAAAGTACAATTGTTTAAATAATTAAGTTTTTTTGGTTATTTAACGAGAGCGTCGGTAGTGGTGTCAAAATTTCAGAAACTTTATCCGTCACAGATCTTAAGTATGTAGGTAGGGTCGTAGTTGTTTTCGATGTAACCCTTTCAAAAAATGGCCTTTTGTATAATCGATGCGCTTCAGCTCTTTGGTCATCGGTAACGACTTTATCATCCAAATGAACCAACGTTGGGAATAACGAAATCATAAATAACCTAATAAAAATAACGTTACTGTTTGTTTTCCAAAAGTCATCTCTACCTGTATTGTAAATACTCATAAAATGTTCCGCCGTTAAGGTACGACGGAGCCGCTGGGTTCCCCATTAACGACAAATGCCTTAAGTTCGGACAAGCCTGTTGTAACCTCTTCGCCCATGGATACAGTTCGGCTATCTGCAGTTTTTGATAGTTATATGTAGCTTTTGTTGATTAATTTACCTTGCAATGGTTCATCCATAGCAATTCCAATTGGGGCATGTAAGGAATGTGCGTTGTTGAGGTAATATTATTGTGATCACAGATAAACATTGTTAATTGTTTGAATTCTCCCGCAAAGTCAATATTGCTATAAAAAATACAATTAATGTAATTGTTTCGAGAATAACAAATAACACCAAATAATACCAAATTAATGCAACTAAGATATCCGCTGTAACAGTTAAAATCGAACAGACTGTGTACCTATAGTATTAATAATTAGGTATCTGTTTTCTGGCAAATATACGATAGATGAATTCTTGTAGTAGTTTCAATCGCATTTAAACTTACCAATAAGACAACAATAATCAGCATTTCCATTTATGAGCTTTTAGATTTTGTAAACTGAATCCAGCAAACTTACAATAAAAACTTTCCAACCGAATTGGAAAACTGATTTATGGTGCCGGAAATAATCTAATAAATACACCTCGTGCAATGAAAATTGTCTGAAAACTTTTTGTATCAACTAAAATTTCCACCTCTTACTAAAAAGTTTACCCCACTTTTACGCGTGGTGGTTGATACCTTAAAAAATTTTGATAGTATGATAGGATATTTAGATCTCATTTCATTTTCAAATCATATCTCACATTAATTTTGATCTCCATCACCATCAGAGGTGCTTCGAAACGTGCCTGAACTGGTTACATATAAGTATGCTGACATACATTTTTAAAAGCACATCCGTTACATTGAATGGGTATATTTTCATAAGTAATAACGAACGAGTTCAGAAAATAACAGGCGAAATCAAAAGTTGTGGTTAGCGAATACAAACTTGAAAATAATGTTAAATTTAGTCACCATTTGATATAAATTTCAAGTTTTAGGGGAGGTCCCACCTTGTATTACTTACTCAAATTCATTGTGACTTATATCCAACGTTTTAATAATGGGCGATAGTTCATGTAGCAGCAATTTTGGTATTGAGTGCAGCTTTTCATAAGCTAGCGATAGCCGATGCCTTGGATCCGTATAAAATAACTCATTTTCTAAGGTAGCAAACGATTCAGACTTCGATTCGTTCTGGCCTGTAAAATAAATCAAATTAAGTGCTACAATGATTAGTTAGTCGGTAAGCACACTAATTTCTCACACGGGACCCAAAATAAGCTCAGTTTAGCTTCAGATCTAGTACCACAGACAACATATACTACAGACGGTCAATGCAATGCTATAGAAATAAACGCAACACCTAATAGAGTACGGTTAGTGTGTTGTCTACCTTGAAGCAGTCGAAATAATTTGTCGTAAAATGTGGTAGACGCACAGAAAACTGTTGTGTGTGGTAAAAGTGTGTAATAGATGGAGTCATTTTTGTAAAAATAAAATACATATACTCAAACCTTATTTCCTCGGCTTCAGAACGCCGGCCTTTACGTAGATAAGATAAGCGCTCACTTCAATAACATCATAAATTACATGAAATAGGATACATTTTAATTCTTCATTTTTCTCTTTTCTAAACATTTAAAAAATTGATGGAGCGGGTTTGGTTATACAAGGGCGGAAACTAAATTTGGCCTCCAAATATAAAATTATGTGGTTGGGCAAGGAAAGATTTTATTAGAATAATAAACATAATTTTTGTTTTTCCATAATAAATATATTATTATACCGGGTGGTGACTTGAACAACGCCCCATAGGAATTGCAATAGTAATTTTTTCATTTCTGATTATTGACTTCTCTAATTATTTTAGAAAGTCTATTTAGGTTTTTTGTACTTTGTAGAGAAAAAAATTACGAATCCATGCATACTATAGCTTTTAATTTTCTGAACTTTGAATCCAAGAAATTGGATAACTAAAAACTGGCGCTTTTAAGAAATTCAGTGGTGCCATGGCAATTTGAGATCAAACATGGCAAATGCAGGCGCTTTTGTTTGATTTCCTAACTCCATGAAATTACCGACTTTATAAACGCGACAGTTTTTAATTTTTAAATTTTTACTGATTCTGAATTTATAAAATACGAAACAAGAGTGTGTACGGATTCGTTTATAAAATTCGAGGTAAACCTTTCACTCACGCCTTTGACGCTCCGGACGAAGGCGACGACGGGCGATTTCAGCGCCCCCCAGACTTGGCGTCCAGGACCTGGGCCCCCCTCGCACGGCCTTGCCTACCTATATGTATCATCACAATTTTTTTTGATTAGGGGAGGGAGCACTTAACGAACTTTATTTATTTTATGTCAATGTGTAGGGTCAACATAGTCCAGTCAAATTAGCTCCAAAAGTATTCTAAACTGGATGTTGGCATTTCACACAACGAAACCAAGTATATTCTATGTAGTTCCCTGTCCGGAAGCTCCCGGAACATATTGCTATACACAAAAAAACAAGAAAAAATGCAGTTTTTTTCGCATTTGACTTGCAATTATCTCGTCAACTATAACTATTGTTCGAGCTCATAGAAATGAATTTGTTTAGAATCGAATTTTCAGTTGGTACAGAACCGTTCATTTTTAAATGTTATTGTTTTTTCTGGAAAAATACAAAAAAAGTAACCCAAAAATTAACATTTGTTTTTGTTGATACGCCCTTCTCGATGCTTTGTCTTTCAAACTGGATGACTCCCAGAGCGTTTTCAATATTTTTATGGATGGTGGAACCGTAAAACAACCTATTCCAACAATTGTCTGTTCTCCCGATGAGTTTTGCAAATCGACGGACTGTGGAATTAGTTTAGTGGAAACCCCAGAAATAGAACAAGAAAGTAACTTTATAATAGGCCCTTGGCACTCTGTTTAATAAAAATCATACCAACTGTATCTCTATCTGATAGGAAAATCGATTCTAAACAAATTCGTTCTCTTCACTTTTTCCGTAAGAGGAATAGTTAACGAGATACCTAATTAAGTCAAATGCGAAAAAACGACATTTTCCCATTTTTTCTTCGTTTTCTTGTGTATAGCAATATGTTCCCGGAGTTTCCGGTCAGCTAGACTGTCATTTACGGATTCAGGGGATTTTTTGCACACAATATACATGGTTTCGTTTAGTGAAGTAACAACACACTAAACCGGTAGACAGTAATAGATACAAAATTATAAACCATCTCGAGGATCGCTATTAAAACTTTGCTTTGTGACAATTTTCGTTGGTAATTGCACAAGTGCATCAAAATGCTCTTTTAACAAATTATGAAAATAACCGAACGCAGTTTTTTACTGATAAGATACTTGAATAAACAATTAAAAAGGTTTTCGCCCTAAGGCGAGTAACGTCAGCGCATTTTCCATAAATTGATCAATACTTCCCCAAAAGACCATACCTATGTACGCTATGTTTTTCATTACTAGAGGCATATTATGGTTAAAATTTTAAAGAAATATCTTCATAAATAAGGAAGTTGACATTTATAACTGCGCAGTTGATATTGCGCGTCCTACGCAGATTTTCTTTGACTCAGGTACCAGAGCGATGCGACTATACCGAATGCAAAAGAACGAACTACTTAAATATCTTGAAAACTGTGGCCTAGGACAGTCGGATGGACAGAGAAAGTGGCTGCAATAGCGCACCCAACTTCGTTGGAAAATGCGCTAAAAATTATTAGGTTTATTTTGATGCACGAGTGTAATTCGGGGGAATATTTCCCGAATAAACATTACAAACTCACCTTACCTACTTATAAAATTCCCATGAAATGTGCAATTATCGCAGGGCTCTTTCGTTTTCTACAATGCAATTACCTACCGCTGTAATTGACCGATAATTGCACACCCACACCTCATATGGGATTTATTACATATGAGGCAAATATTCATTCGAACATTGCTTACGTTTAGGTTTCCTTTATCCAAGTTAAATGAAGTTAAATTGCTGATTGCAAGATTTATTCCACAAACTGAGAGACAAGTAGGCAAGGAGGGTACGTAGATATATAAACACACAGGGAGATTACACTTTTTTTTCGAGAATTCGAAAAGTGGTGCAAGTTATATCATTTCTTATGCACCCAAACACAACGAGTAATACGTAATTGCGAATATGAAGTGATATTTGCTTTGTATGTGTACCTGCAAAGATTATCAGCACTTCGCCCAGATGTAAATATGGGGATTTCTTGTGGGACAGCTTTCTAAAAATAAAGTATCAATACTTCTTTCCCATGACAATTTGCAAAACCATTCCAATAAAAGAAATCTGTAGAAGAACCAACACATTGTTGTATACGCTAATAGATGGAGCAAAATAGAGGGATAGCAGGTTTTTAAATAAGGGGACATCTGAAACAAAACTAGCGTGCTTTTTCCCCTTAAGATTGACCGTCTGTAGTATATGTTGTCTGTGCTAGTACTGACTACATATACGTGATAGTACGAAGCTCTGGCTAGGACACATAGGAAATTATTTTGTAAATTACAGTTGTAACTGGGAATTAGTTTATAATTTACAGTTGTAATTGGGAATTACACTAATTTACAGTTGTAACTGGGAATTATGCTAATTTACCGTTGTAACTGGGAATTAAACTAATTTACCGTTGTAACTGTCAAGGATAATTCCCAGTTACAACTGTAAATTAGTATAATTCCCAGTTACAACTGTAATTTACAAAATAATTTCCTATGTGTCCTATCCAGAGCTTCGTATGATAGTGATTTTGCAGTAGGTTTTTCGTGCTTCACTTGAAGTCGAATTGTAAGTACTCGTAACTCCGAAGAACTCAAAATATCTAGATACCGAATCTACCGCACAGATAGAACTGCGAACATTGCATCAGGAGGAGTAGCCATCATTATACTAAGCACAAAATCATAAACCATGAATGTCAACCACTAACACTATTATTCTTGGAGTACTTCCGTAAACATCATATGTGTTATAAGGAACCCCACAAAAGGCTTCTAGACATCTCAACAGACGAAATCACACTACTCATTGGAGACCTACACTCCAAAAAACGCCATTTGGGAATGTAGAACATTGAAGAATTTTAATTAGCAACTTCTTCAACAGGTGCTCACAGAGCTATAGATTCGGACCACCACCTATCATTTGTTGCCTAATAAGTACCACCATTCAACTGCAATGCGTCATTGAGACCATTGAAAGAGATCACGGATCCAAACAATTTACAGCGACTCAAGCCATTGATCGAGTGTGGACCAATGGTCTGAAATACATAATCGCACTACTTCAAATACGCGACTACATCAAATCCATACTATTCTTTCGCCTATAAAATCGTAGCTTCGCAGTCAAAATTCATGCATCCTAGTTGGGGTTGGAGGTTGGAAATAGGAACGAAGTAGCTTTTCACGATTTTTTCCTTTATTAGAACCTTACACTATTTTTTACACTAAATGGACTGTACAGGGTGGCCATTTGAAAACGAAACAGAGCCTATTTTGGGGACCTCAAAACATTTACGAAAAAATCTTTGGACCCGTCAATTTTTGATTCAGGGGGGAACCATTTTTTTGCAAGTTTCGCCCCCCTGAGGGCAAAGTCATAGCGGGGATGACAAGCGCCCCCAAAATTTTAAATCGAATAGGGGGTCGAGTGATACCTTATTTTGAAGGTTTTATTTTAAGTTCTTAAAGCTCTCATTTGTTTGTCACTTGCGCCCTTCAAGAAAAAAATCAAAAATTATCTCACCGAAAATGCGTTCTATTCTATTGATGAATTCGTCCGTGAGTGCAAATCTATTTAACAAATTTGTTTATGTTTTGTGATTTTTTGTCTTTTTGTAATGTAATGTCGTTTTATATGTACATTTATATTTTTATATATCTATAATTCAAATTGGCATGTTTTTATATATTATATTATTTTTTTATTAATTGTTTTGTTTTAATTTTATAAATGATTTCTTAAAATAATAATAATAATAATAATAATGCGATTAGTTAACCAGGCTAGACCTGAGTTCTCACAAGATACACCGACCATAATAATAATAATAGTCGTTTATTGAGTTGCCGTTTACAAGTTTATGATAGTAACTATAAAATAATTTATGTGACAACCCAAAAGCGCGAAGTTCAGATTGGTACGGCATCCATACCATCTGCTCTCC